ATTTCAGGAATATTATTTAATATTATATAATTTTAGTAAAATATTATTAAAATGTTATATTTAATATTTTGAGAATATGCCTAAAATATTATTTAATATTAAATAATATTATGCGCTTATAGAGTAATTACGAGAAATTCGTGCAGTATGTTGTAACGTGGATTTTTATTCTATGCCGCGATATATAAAAAAATATGTTCGACATATTACGATATAAAAAATGTATACTTGCGAATTGAGATATCTACAATTGCAATTATCTCCTAAGATGATGGATAGACAAGTTCTAATGAATAGATAATTTTAATCTACTCTAATAAAAATTTAGAGCATAGAAGAAGAAATTGTAAAACTTTTCTTTTCTTCGAAAAAAATTATGGAATACGAAAGTAACAATGACTATAGTATCTAAATAATAACGTAATAAATAAAAACGTAATAAAAATGAGTAAAATAAGCATAAAGTAAAATTGAATGAAAACAATATGTAAATGAATACAGATCAATAAAATATTAAAAAAATACAAAAAATAGGGAAAACAGAGAAAGAGAGGAAAAAAGCGAAAAGTTCTCATCTCTCTCTCTCTCTCTCTCTCTCTCTCTCTCTCTCTCCTCTCGCGCATATATAAATGTGCAAATGTAAATATTTTAAACTAGTCATCTTGCACTGTGATATATTGCAACAATTGCAACAATATTACTGTGATATTTCGATATTGTTTATCAACGTATAATATATCAGTAATATTTCTGTGATATTATAATGTAATATATAATATTTCCGATATATTACAATATTACTGCAATATTATTGTAATAGTACGTGCTTTGTGGGAATAAGGCTACGTTTACACCGTACGACTGATAGCGACCTGACCTATATCGTGACCCAAAGTAGGTCTAGTCACCAACCATTTACACCGAAAGGGACTTAAAAATTGGTTGGGTCACATTTAGTCCACGCTGGTCCGAATTAGAGCCATCTATCGTATTTTGTACAGATTATTTCCATATACAGCATTGTACTCGCCAGAACATATACATAGCGCTATATTGAGTCGGGATGACAGATATCTTAATCTCTAAAATCTCGAACTTTAATGCTTAATATCTCGGTTCGCGAGACCGACCGCCGCATTTTTGCCAGATTCTTTCATTTTAAGTGAAAACGCGTCGAACGAGCCCAATTTCATCAAAATCGAAGATGAGGCCCGTATTCTAAATAATTACCATTATTTGTATTATTTTGATTAGCAAAGGCATTGGTACTTATGAACTTGAATCGCTGCATGAACTTTTTTCCATCTTTTTTTTTAAATATTTATGTTCTTTGCACAAATCAATTAGTCTTTTCACAGTCTAGAAGTAAATAACAAACCGGTTTAACCTAACTATTCAACAAAACAGCAGTGTCCTACCGAGCAAATGGCTACGAAGCTTTTAAATCGGGTCAGTCGTGCGTTTACCAAGAAAGTAGACGACCTATTTTAGGTGAGGGCGCTAAAAAATCTGGCCTGACCTACAACAGGTCGGGTCAGGTATAGTAGTGTTTACAGCGTGCGGCCTAAATAATGTGACCTAAATTAGGTCGAATTTGGGGTATAGGTCGCGGACTATACGTAACCATACTTACTATAAGCCTGGGCTGGATCTAACAATTCGTTATATTGTTAATGTAACATGCGAAGCTTACAGTAAATTTTTGGTTGAACGTACACATAAAACTATTACATAAAAGACAGTTGTATATAAATTGATATAAAGTCTAGTGATATGAATAACTCTTTAATAATGCTTTAAGTTGTCTGTATTATCGATTAAATGGAGTCCCCTATTCGGTGTATTTACCAAAAATTTGTTTTTCTTTTTGGATTTTCGAATAACTAGGAAAACTATCTTTAATAACTTCTTAGACGAATCTTCAAGCTGTAAGGATAGCAAAAGTTGTGGAATAGAAAAATCGAATGAAGATAGCTGGATATAAAATGGGTCAATATTGTATACAACATATTATTTAACATTTTGCCATCAAAAGGTTTAAAAACTGGCAATTAATTATTTTCAACGTATGTTTAAGTTCTTAGATATTCAAATAGCAACATTTTGACGCCATGCTGTACATTTAGATATGATGATTTCTAGCATTTTGTGTACTATTAGTGCATCCAACTAAATTTATTGTTATACATGCTGCGGAAGTGACAAAAAAGCGCACAATTTAAATATGAATTTACGGTTACATTAGACGCGTTCAGCAGAACGCAACAGTTTTGCAACCGTTTTATGATTGTCTGCTGAGATAGGACCATTTCTTTAGATCTAAAAGTATAATTCAATCAGCGTGAAGAAAATTTCCAATAGTTGCAAAATAAACGTTCTGCTGAACGCAGTTATTAACATTTTCGGGACGACAAATCGTCAGGTTCGTGTGTACATTAAATTAATATAATGAAGCAGATGGTCGGATGTAAGGGAAAGTGGGGGAATTGTGCACAGCGGGTAATTGTGCGCATCCTGGTTTGGTACTTTTCCAATAGAGAGGATGAAGACATCACCGTGATGAAATTTTTACGCAGGAAGTCGTCCTTTTAAGATATAATTACAAAAAGTACGACGTAAATACGTTGCTAACTAGAGAAATACAAAAAAGTGAAATCATATCTTTTCTTGTTATTTTAGCGTTAAGAAAATAAGGTGGCGGATCCGTATTTTTTATTTGTTTGTTTAAAGTTGCATATGTTATTAAAGTACGTTATTATGTGCGTCTTTTGAGCTGTAATTTATTATATTAAGTTTGGTTAGGAAGTGTCGAAGTAATCGTATTTCATATCGAGTCAGGTCGCGGCGAGCAACTGTGCGCAAGCGTTTTGAAATGCGCACAATTACCCATCTTCCATATACTACATATATAACTAGCACTAATTTTTTCGTTTCTTCTTTGAATTATTATTTCATCAATTTTTACAGAATTCTTAAAATAAAAATAACACAATCCGTAAAAGGCCATACGAGTCACGGGCTGATGAAGGTGCCAACGATTAATTTCAATCTTAATTAATCATTAATGTGTAAAATCCTCTTTATTGAACGTTTCAACTCACTTTGGAGTCCTCCTCAACAATACATATATTGGAGTGGATCCTCAAACGGAACGCTCAACATGTTTCATGAGCTTTGTAAGTTTATATTAACAACAATTAAATCTAATCTTCATTATATACATTTAGTTAATTTCAGTCTCTCGTCTCCAAATAATGTAACGTGTTCCGAATAATGCAAACACGTTACATTATTCGGAGACGAGAGACTGAAATTAACTAAATGTATATAATGAAGATTAGATTTAATTGTTGTTAATATAAACTTACAAAGCTCATGAAACATGTTGAGCGTTCCGTTTGAGAGTCGCGGCGGGCAACTGTGCGGCAAGCGTTTTGAAATGCGCACAATTACCCATCTTTCATATACTATCTATATGACTAGCACTAATTTTTTCGTTTTTTTTTGCATTATTATTTTATTTTACCATTTATTTTGCCAAAGTCTACGTGCATTATTATTATATTAGTTTTGTATTTTTGCTTAATATATATGTATATAATATATATTTAAAATATACTTAATATATATTTATATTGCAATATAATAAATATATTTTCTGATTTCGTTGTTCAACATCCATAATTCATTTATTTCCTACGATTTTTATTTTGTGTATAATTACCCAACCCATGCGCACAATTACCCGATGCGCGAGAAATTTTTTCGCTTTTCCGTTTTTTCCTTTTTACTAAATACAATCTTATTGAATAAAAATCTATTCAATATGAGGATACGTAATGGTAGAAGAATGTTTATAGTATCTATTTCCATACTAATATCGCTTTAAACTTGGAAAACCATTCCAAGATAATAAATTTCCCTTAGGTGCGCACAATTCACCCACTTTCCCCTACAGCACGGTATCCGATACGAGATTCACGGTTCGGCATTTGTTATCAGCTTGCGGGTGCGTTAATAGATATTTAGCACTTGATATAATTTAGAGAAATAGAAGGTCTATTTTTAGAAAAAATGAAACTATATATATTTATTTTCTTAGGAGATAGGATAAGGGTAATATAACAAAATACACAAGAAATTCATTTAATCCTTTAATGCATTTGCAAGAAAAGCAATAGAAATTAAAATGAATAATTGAGCATCACTTCTCGCTGTTGAAAAATATTTTCATAGAACTAATAATAGAAATAATTATATAATACATAAAATCTAGACAAGTACATAATAAAAAAACATTTTATATTTGTGCTAAAATTGATATTTTTTACATTTTTGTGCCAAATTTTTAAAATATCCGAGTATTAATTTAATACAATGTGATTGTGTTATTTAAATATTGTGTGTTAAATTGATATTCAATATTTTTAGTGTTAAAATAACACAATTTACAATTTACAACATATTAACGAATAAGTAAATAAATAATATACAAATAATATATTCTAAACGTAAATTTTCTAAGATAAATGAATAAAATGTGTTAATTTGACATATTATAAATATTAAATTTACTTAAGTATGCTAATTAAATATAACAAATATGATTTTTTCCGAAGAAATATCTTTCCACAATTTGCTTACAAATGTGTCAGCGTTACATTTTGTACATAATATCTGTGTCACTTCTTAATATTTCACCTTGTATTAAATTAACACAAAAATCTGGATGGACACATAAAGCCAGGTCTATATAGTACGCAAAACGCAGGTCGCAAGTCGCAAATGAAACGTATTTCAGATTATAATAGATCGCAGGACGCAGAATGCGAAAGTTCACCCAACTTCCTGCGTCCTACGTTCTGCGATCTGTAAACTATTATAATTAAAATACGTTAGGTTAGTTTCTAGTTTGTGACCTGCGACCTTCATTCTGCATGTTATGTAGATTGGGCTTAAAAATGTGTTATGTTTAACTCAAAATTTCCAACTATATGTAAGAAAGGTAGATAATAATCACTCACAAATATACTAGAACAACAAGTATGGTAATTATATGAAAAATTTTTTTAAATATAATTTGCTTGTTTAGATTTTTATTTCCAAGAAAGACGCAACGAGTTCACATATTAAAAAATTTTATATTAGATTAACATTTCGTGACTCGTGACATTTGTGACACTGCGACTCGTTTAACTTAACAAAGGAATAAGAAATAGAAGAGAATCTTATTCAAATAGATCTTATTGTTTCTTCGCAGTATTGCAACAATCGAGTAATCATTGTCAAATTGTTTGGCAAATCGACGTGCGAGAGATCCATTTAAGTATAAATCCGCGCTGATAGTAACGCGATCCGGTCGTCATCTCAAAGCCAAATGCAATTCGGTCATAGCGGTCAAATTGATTCGACAAACTGGAACGCTACGAATCCTCGTTGACATTCGGCATCGAATCCACAGGACGAATCCGCATGGGACGATCTCGGATCTCGGACGAGCTCGGATAACAGCAAGCAGGCTAGTCTACTCGTGACGACTCGGACTATCCTGATGTTCTGAGACGTCCAAACTGATTTCGTCGATTATCTTGTTCAGGCCGTTGCAAAGGCGAAGAAACTTGGACACGTCCGGATGTAATTTCGTTTCGCTGACCACGATGTTCGATACAAGCTCCGAACACACCGCAGATAAATCGAGATCAGTCGGCACGACTTGTACACTACGACCAAACCTATTTCAAGCAAAATTTATTTAATCATTCCAAATTTTCATCTAAATTGGACTTCTTTTCTGAGAACTTTACAACTTTAGAATTTTACAATTTTACATTTTACTGCTTACTTTTACTGTTGGGTATGAAAGATTACTCCACAAATCATCATTTCATGATTTGACAAGATTTTCTTGTCTGGTTGACTACTGCAGGCCTCTTATTGTTACTGTATATTTATATATTATAGGTTTAACAAGTTAATATTAATCTATTATTTTGCGTATTGTTAAACTGAAGAAGGTTCCGCACGAAACGTATGTATAACGATCTTATTAGATTACTAAAAATGCTATTTTAAATAGGTATATTAACATCTAAATTTGCTTGTATTTGGTCATTATTATTGTCTTGGAATTAACGATTCGAGCGTTCTCCATTTTGTTCATTTATAGCTTTTTAGATATGTACCTAGAAAATATGCAAGTAATGACTGCAAGTAGGACTGCATCGTATTCGTCGTAAATAAGATATTGTGGTATTAGCTAGTTTTGAAAAGTGGCACCTCGTAGAGATCGTTTGATCATTATTGAAGATCGTGTCTGCCGAGACTTTTTATCAGGACTTTTATCAAATTACTATAACTTTAGATTAATATTTAATATGATTGTCCTAAAAAATGACTATGAAGTTACAGTAATTTCAATCATTTTTATTGTTATAATAATTATAATTATAATCATTTTAGGTTGCCAACTATATATATTTGTTACTAAAACTATATATATGGTTATTGTTACTAATATTATAGCAGTAATAATCATAATTATATAGTAATATGTAATTATAATTAGAAATACCCAAAGGGGTTTTCTCTCAGTGTAGATCATGAAAAAGTTTGGTTTTTTATTCTAGGTTAAAGTGCACGACAATTTTACATAGCGGAGAACAGGAATAGCAAGCATAAAAAGGCTCCAGCGTGGCCATTTTGTTTCAATACAACATATACATATGTAGAAAATTTTTTATTTAGTTTAACATGTATAGAATTAAATTAAGAGCTTAAAATAGATATTTTTTATTTCTTTTATGAGTTGCTTTAAAAAATTCACAAAATTACACATAATTTCTCCATAATGGCTTAGCTCCCTCTCAAAAAAAGAAACTATCTCGTTACATGTTTGCTTCTTGCAGATTAGCATAAAGTATGCATATAAATCAACAAAAAATGTTTTATATCAAAGTGAAAAAATTCTAGAAAATCTTATATACATTCATTTTGTAGGTATTTTGTACAACATCCGTGAAGGAAAAAGGATAGAAATATATGACATTACTGTATCAACTTTGAGGCCTATTAGTCAGATATTCATTTTTGCTTGTTTTACGAAAAAATTAGTTACTGAAAAATTGCAAACAGTATTATAAAAAACTGAGCACGAGCGTAGCATGGTGGACAAACAGGACAGCGCGCGTCTACCATGCTAAGGGTTCCCTATAGCAAAGGGTTACAATCACGTTACGATAGAATCACAATAATCAGAAAGAAAGTATGATGTCACTGTGAGATTACCATAACAAAATAACACATGTTACAAAGATATTTGCTCATCATCATGACATTGCTGTGACATCATATTCGTGATAAAAGCGGATATTCACACCATAAAGTACGTAATCATGATTGTTGCGATGTAACTGTGACGTTTTTTGCTATGGGGATTCGATCCCCGATAGATTCAAGAAATTTTCACGCGCTCGTAGTTCCTCTTCGGCGATCTGGCAAACCACCAAGAGTATCCATTGCCAAGAAAACTTCTCAAACTAAACCGGCGCGTTAAATTGTAAGTCCCGTATGTCTGTGTACAATTTGCGTGCGCACCACGGGCCTACAAGAGGTAGGCTCTATCCCGACTTTGCGATGTTGCGGCATCGAATAAATGATTGAAAAAATTGCTACGTTATCTAATAAAAGGCACTTTCTAGTTTGTGTTTATATTTCTAAAGTTTTATTTTTAGCTTTTAGTTTAGAAATATTACCCAAAAATAAAGTGGTATATATGTCGGCATCGATGACTTTCCCTTCTATACACACATCGTTCATATTTTCAGCTCGATTTTCAGTAATAAACAAAATTTATGAGATACAATTTAGAGAACTATATCCATTAAGCAACTCTCTTCTTTACATTTCGATTAGGAGGTTAAAAGTGCAACTAGATGGTTACCTGATAAAATTGAGATCATTTCGTCCGCGTTTGAGTTGTCCATCGTTGACAGCCTTGAAGTTAGATCGACCGAATCTGATCACGATATCCGGCGACTTCCATCGGGGATGCCTGCTAACCATCGAATTAGTTTCTTCGTCGACGACGGAATTATCGGCGAGGTTGAAAGCAGACTGACTGCGTCCGAATCTAATGAAGGAAGAACCCATAGTGCTGCGTCTCTCTTTGGTCTCGGTATTTTCTTTATGCTCATTGATGCCATGTCTTTTTATCACATATTCAAATTCATTCGGCGATTCCTTGAAGATTCTCAAGCTACCATCGTCCTGGAGTGGCGTCAATATCGAAGAAGACACGAACATCCAATTGTAGAGAAATGCCATCACGATGAAAGCCCAAAGTGCGATCTGTAATAAAAAATTGTATGAATAAAATATATATATACTGTATATATATATGTATACATATCGCCCCATGCAATACTTTTTATCTTTTTTAATTTTATATTCCATAAAACTTGCTCATTATTATGCAAATTTTTTTCATAGTGAGAAAAAAATTTTTGGTATTTGTAACAATAACATGTTATTATAAATAATTATGATTATCAGAGTTGACAAACAACGCGTTAGTTGTAACACCGCTATCATTATTGTTACCTTTTTTCGATAACAATAGTGTTCCCTATTATCTTTATAGTCATTCAACGCATTATTTTTTTATTAGACCAAAATATTTTATTTAAATAGAAATTTAAATACTGAAACATATTTTGTATTTTGTATCTTATAGTTATAGGCTGCGTTCAACAGCCAATACTTAAAAATCTGTAGTATATACACATGTAACACGATCTGTAAATGCTTTACTGGTAATAAAGATTAAAATACCATCTTAACAACAACATTAATATTTAAAGACAATGTTTAATAAAAATTTTTAATAAAATAAAATTTTAACGAACAGTTCTTTAAGTGATTTAGCGAATATTTTTTGCATATATATTTAAACGGAAAGAGATTACATCAATGTAGTAAAATAAATAACTAACCAAATATAAACTATACTAATAACTAACAATATGAATAAGTTATATTAGGGGAAAGTCAGTTATATTTCATATAAACGTCACAGATTTGTAATTGCAAATTAAAATTTTTACGTAACACACACACAAATTAATTTCTATTTTTTGAAAAAACTGGTAGAAGTAATCTAGAATATAATGTTCTACTGTACAAATTACAAAACATTATAAATAACTAAACAAGTGAAAATAAAGTCTGTTAAATCGCGTACAAAATTACTAGACATAGTAGACTAGACTATAGACATAGTAGATTATAGACACAGTAGACACAGTAAACTAGACTCACATAAATGTCACATATTCATGTCTAATCTCATAATACAGATTATAAATTTCAGAATTACCAAATGACGTTATTGGGCGATATGTAATTGATTTATCAAGGTTGACTTGAATTACGAGGTGTAACAAGAGCATGTATCGTCCAACGCGTACGTGCGTCACATAATAAATTATATTGGCGTCTTATTATCTGTATTAATATCCTGTTTAACAATATCATGGCGCACTGAGCAAGATTAATGTGGTGCCTTATATTACTTTAATTAACTGTGTACGCGACTGCCCTTCATAATCACGTCACAAACTTAACTGTTGCACGCATTGTTAAAAACCTGCAAATTTACCAGGACTTAGGGATACGAGTATTAATGTAAGCCTAGATAGGCAAGTTCACTTATTAATTAACTGATCTTTATTGTTACTTTACGCAGATTGCACTGCATCAATATTAATGTATGTATTAGCATGTATTACTCAGATTTTCTACTTATGCCGCTCACGTTTCGTTGCATTATACTTTATACTAAATGAGCGGTATTATCGCGTTAACGATTAATAGCAGATTTTTCAGTTGCCTTAAAGTTATAATATCTCCACTAATTTTTAAGTAACTAATGATTAAAATAGAGAGAAGAGAGAAACAGTATGAAATTTTTCCCGAGACATCGAACATATGAACAAATAACAAAATCATAGTTTTCAATAAGTGAACATATATTTATAAAGAATCATACATAATTAATTAACGTATTTAATATAGAGTAAAATATTTTACGCATTAATTTTACCTACTGTCTTTCAGAAAGATCCGACCTCGATCTGGTCATTCTCAATGTTAAAACAATAAAATTCAAACGGAATTAACTAAACGTAATTATAAGAACAAAAAATTATAAAACCTATTAACCAAATTCATAGCTGACTGTGAAATACATTCCAGATTATTAAATCGCTTTGTAGTCGTCAACAGTTGTCTTACAGTAGAGTCAAACGAAAAATACGTACTACATCAGAGACAACCGGTGACGAGTTGACGACTACAAAACGGTTTAATAATCTAGAATGTATTTCACAGTCATAGCTATGAATTTGTTTAATAGATTTTATAATTTTTTGTTCTTATAGTTACGTTATGTTTTTATATTTTATTGTTATTAGAATGATTAGTTAATTCCGTTTGAATTTTATTGTTTTAACAATGAGAATGACCCGATCGAAACATATGTTCTAATAAACTGTTTGTTTTTTAATAATATATAGCATCAAGACTTTGCTTGGCTCGTAGCCTTATATTCTCATTATTTTAATTTTATAAAAATTTTATTAAAAATAATATTAACGCATGTGTAAAAGGATCTTTTAAGTTCTGAAATTTCTTTTTTATAATAAATGTCTTAGTTTATTTTAACATTTGAACAGATTTTTAAGCAACAATTAAATCAATCACCTCGCTTGGCTCATAGCACTTCGATTTTATTTTAATTGAACCTTAAAATGATTAGTTTAATTTTAATTTAAAATATTAGATGTTAAAAAAGATTGCGAAAAATCACAATGAAACTTCAAATATTTTAATCGAGAAAGATTCTATCATTGAATATCTTCTGAAATAGAAATGTTAATATTGAAAATGCGATTTCCGTTCTCCAAACATTATTAATCTTTGAAATAAAATCGAACACATTTCAAAAGAAAAAAGTTGATATAAAGTTAATATCATGAAATATTTTTTTATTATGAATCCTTATCACACTATGCATTCAATTTTCTCGGAAATTAACTACAGATGTCTTTTTATCTTACTATTTTTAGAATATAATAAAATACAATAGCTAAAGTTATTATCAAAATTTTTAAGCTGTGATTTAATAAATTAATCCCAAATGTCATGAGAATGTTTAGAAAGACAAGATGGCATCACGATAAATCCGACAAAATTAAGTCGATAAGTTTATGAAAATTGAAAGGGAACATACAAGATTTGCCACGTCGCGTCACTTCAATAGTAAGTAAATATGTGTGTCCACGCTGTAAGATAGTTGAATGAAAATGGAAATTAGCTGAAATAATAAGAAAACATATCTCAAAGGAAAACATTGCATGAAAGCGGAAAATAATATACAAAAGCAACAGAGGATTTATCACGAAGACCGGAGACAAATTCGTTGACGCAAAAAAATTCACCATTGTGAAATATTTCTGTGCGTCCGTTTTATAATTCTAACGAAATTTTCAAAAAACAATGCATATTATTGCTAAAAATATTGTATTTTTTATTTTAGTTTTCTGAATAATCAATTTCTATCCTTTTTCTCCTAAAATAAAAATTATCGGTTTCTTTTTTAGAATCATTGAATCATTAACATTATGTAAAACAAAATTTTAAAAAAAATTTAAACCTTTTAGTGCATCTAATAATTTGTAAAAAACACTTTCTTTGATATATGTATATATTTATTTAAGAATCATTATTTAAGATGAAAACAAAATAGAATTTGAAATCTTTCTTCTCTCTCTCTCTCTCTCTCTCTCTCTCTCTCTCTCTCTCTCCTTTTTCCTTTTATTTCTCTAATGTGCAAAGTATTTCCTGCGTAAAAACTAAACAAATAATATATATCACATAATAAAAACATTTTGTACTTTTATTAAAACGTCTTAACTTATGTTTTGTTATTTTTGTTAAATTTTTGACACATCCGAGTATTAATTTAACACATTATAAATCTTAATTTTAGTAAAGAAATATGCTGCCATATTTGTATCCAAATTGTGTTAAAATTTTACATTTTTAAAAAATATTACATCGTAATTTTTACGTAATCCAAAAAAAAAAATTCTGCCAATAAGCAGGGAATTTCTCTTAGCATTTCCTCTAAGAGTCTAAGTAAACAATCTTATATGAATTAGGCGTGTGTATTTATAACACGAATTTATCTATATAAAAATGAGGATCTATAAACATGAAGATCTATAAAATGAGAATCTATATAATCATAAACTATGATTAAAAATAAATTCCTCTATAGAAAATTCTATTATAATAATCCGAAGAAAGCCTTTTGAAATAAGAAGATAAGCAAGATAGTAGCACGCTTATTTGTTAGAAGAAACTTGCCATTACGCGCTATCGTAGCTATGCGTACATGTCAGTACATCATGCAAGACATTCTTCTAGCATTAAGAGGATTGCAATCTTAAATTCAGCACCTGGTAATACAATATTCCTCTACTTTGCAGAGTATCTTCTTGAGGTCGTCGTTGTTTGAATATTATGAGGATTTTTCACTTATATAATGAAAAATCCTCTGATATTAACAAGGAATCGCTAAACGGCAGAATATTTCTTTTAGGGTGTAAATTATAACTGATTAGCAAAAGTAACTACAATATATGTAAAATAAAATATTAAATAACGGAACATTAAATTAAATATTTATAACTCGTATAATTTGTGGAAATTAAGACAGCATCTTTCTTTTTTTCCGATTACTAAACATATTAAGATAGATAGAGATCATTTGACTTCTCGCTACATATTCTTGATCATCATCAACCTGATCATTAATAATATTCAGTTGAAGAGATAGCTCAGATGTTAATCCACACAATTATAGAAGATTAATTCACGGAACGATCACCGCACATCTCTCCGCGGTGAAACACTCACTCCACAATAACGAGAGCGACAAAACACTCACCATTTTGTCGACTTTTAGACTTCTCGATGAGTAGGGCGATGCAGAGAACGAGATCGCGAAACGTAAGTGTCAAAATGGAAAAAACGTAATACGGTGAATGTAGCGACAGCGTGGTTTGGTGGTGGTTTCTGGTGGAATGGGTGTCCGGGGTTGGCGATGACACCCTTTATATAGGTGCACCCTGGCGCGCATATTTCCCCTCTCCCCCTCGGCGCATTGGTCCTCTCACTCTCCGTATCTGTGAGGAGGAGACATTCTCACCTGAGTTATGATTGGTCGGAGCGCACAACACGATACCTCTACATTATTTTGATTCAATTACACCACCGGCTACCGACCTACGTAATCTTCTTTATTATTTATGACTCTCGGCAAATAATAATCATAGGGGTGGATACGAAAGGATCCTCGCTGCCGTCATCGGTAACAATATCGACGCACTGATCTCTTCTTCTCTCTCTCTTTCGGTCTATTTATCATGTCTGTCTATCTATCGTGCAAAAACAACTCGCTGTACGTAGAAACAACAACGGTGTCAGAACAACCGGCTTTCCACTTATACACGTACCTGCATCGTGCTTTAATCTGTGATTCATGAAGATCGAATGAAGTAGCAACAGGTAAAGCGCCTTTACTATCCGACAGCCTTATACCCTTACAAAAATCTAATACTAGCCAATTTATTACTAAAAGATAGTAATTAATTATTTATTTGGAGTATTAATATTAGGAGTACTACTGAACAACACAGAGCTTTTAATACTTAAAATAAATAATTAATAATTGTCTTTCGAGTATTGGCTAGTATTAGATTTTTGTAAGGGTAACTTTTATTTTATATCGCTTTCTGTTAAAAATTCAATATAATGGTGGAGTGATGAAAGTACATCTGTGTCGTCAGTTACGAAGATATCGCAGTAAAGAGAACTTTATACGAGAAGTTAAATCATGCGGACATTTGATTTACGTCAATTTTAATGTTTGAACGATAGTTTCAGAAAACACGTAAAATGTATTATGTGCGAACTTTTTTCCATTAAACTAATTGAGGGATTCCGAGTTTCGGACGAGAAATACGTCAAGACTTTTTAAGTTTGAACGCGCTTACGCATATATGCGATATGATCATACTTTGTAACAAACTGCAGTAAACTCGTCTTTTCTTCATATAAACTGTCCGTTACCTTTCATGATATAGAAAAACAAAGCAAATTTGGTTGTAAAAGTCTATACATGTTCAATGCATTGTACGCTCGCGCGCGCGTAATGCGAGGGTTGCGATAACTACATGTTAATCATGCGGCGAATCAAATAAGTTTCGATTGCATATACATATTTGTAGTACAAATATTAATTTTATTTCTCAATTTTTCTACAGATAGTTTAGAACCAAAAACGATCATTTTATTTAAAGAATGTTAAATTTTCTTTTAAAAACTTATTCATATGTCAAAACAAACTAAGATGTTCATTATTAAAAACAAAATAACTACAATAATTAGTATTGCTAGCAAATAAAAATCCGGCAGATACATGATTGCTTCTATTACTAATTAATTGATTGGAATAGCAGACTAACATATCAGTCTCCATGACAGAAGAATCTTATATTCGTTTTCAGCACCGACATTTTTGTTGTCACAATATCTACAAATTATTTATTGCAAATAATGGCTTTTATTTATTCACAGTATAAACATTCATTTTATTTATTAATTTTTCTATATTGGAGAAAAAAATTTACTATACGCGCTAATCCTAAGCCATAACGGCCAATTCCATTTGCAAATATAGGGATTACAATTATTATTTGTAAGTGTAGATATTTTTTTTCATACTCGCTGCAAAAATTATTATCATCAAATACAAAATATTTGTCAAATATGCAAATTTATTTGCTATATGTATCAAACAAATTTGACAATTATATTATTTTTATGTTAGTATTTATATTATATAGTAAGTAATTAATATAATTTTATGACAATTTCTTTTTTGAGTCAAATGTTAAATATCAAAGTCGTATTTACAATGTTTCAAAGAAGTTGATGACTTTTTAATGAGAAATTCTTTGTCCACTTTTAAATATATTTTTCCGTAAAATAACGAGACATTAATGATTTTCCGGTTACGACCAAGTAAGAAGAACTAAAGTTCTCTTTTGAGCTAAACTTTAAAAGAAATCAATGAATAATTGAATTTGCACCATATTTAGCCGTTTTCAGATAAAGTTTATTGTATTGGTGTTTCAATTTTACAGGCTTAATAATCGAGACATAATGTTGAAAATTAGAGAGTTTTGCTATAAGTAATAACTGCCTTTAATATTTTGGCTAAGGAAAAAGCAATTTCAAATCGATTACATGCGAGCTTTTTGAATTTGTATACTAAAAAAGATTTATTAAATTTTAATAAATATTTCTTTGAATAGTCCTATCCAGGTAGCAAACATACGTCATTTTGACGTCAAATTCTGGTCATGTTGGTACGAATGACGTCAAGTGACCAAAAATTGACCAACCGATGTTATAACGTCATTATGATGTCGTCATAATAACGTTAGAATGACGTCATATCTTGATCTTCCTTAATTCTCCATTTGGAAACGTCCTAACATGATGTCATTTTGATGTCGTCGCGCACACATATAATTTGCGAAATTAAAGAGAGAGAGAGAGAGAGAGAGAGAGAGAGAGAACGTCATTAAGACGTCATTAAGACGTCAGCCATGGTCAGTAAGTGACCAAAATTGACGTCAAAATGACGTGTATTTGCCTGGGTAGCGAAATATTTATTTACGCGGTAAATAAATAATTAGATAAATAAAAAAATAATAATAGAAATAAACTAATGGTTCTTGTATCTAATGAATATGTGTTTACATTTAGTAAATATTCCGTTAGGAGTATTCAAAGAAATATTAAAACTCAATAAAATTTTTTCACGGTGTATTAATTTTAACTACGGTAAAATTGCTAAGATAATTGAAAAGTAAAATTAAATAATTGTAATGTAAAATTAAAATATAATTATAAAGAGATTGTTTTATTTTAATAATTCTAAGTAAAAGAGAGTAACCAAATTAACAAAAATTTTGAAGCATTTTAAGCACTAAGTTCTGTTGCGGGATTCTTTAATAAACGTTTTAGCGACAATTGTCGTTAACTAATGACAACCGCGCTTTCTTCGAGGATTGTCCTGTCATTGGGTGCATTCAGTACCACGACCGCTTACTGAGCGCTCAGTAAGCTCTTGTATCTGTTTGGTCTATATTTTTAGTTCTAACGGAATATACCAATAAGATGTAAGCGCTCCAAAACAGTTGAGTCTGCTAAACGCGACCAATGTAACAATATCGTTACATTCGTTAAACTGAGAAAAAAATATCTTAATCTCAAAGAAATATTTGTTGCTCGTATTCAAACAAATTATTATTTTAGATCAATAAAAATTTCTTTGAAATCAAGATATTTTTTTTACTTTAAAAAACACATTTTAATTTCAAAGAAATTTTCATTAATCCAAAGTAATAATTTGTTTGAATACGAGCAAAGAAATATTTCTTCGAAATTAAGATATTTTTTCTCAGTGTAAGAATTACAGAATATAGATCCTTAAAATTTATTAAAAGTGAAGAGATTTTCTTACGAATTAATGTCTCTTTCTGTAAGTTAAAACGTGTACATCAAAAACAAGAAAAGCATGCACATATCAGTTATCTTTTAAATGGAAAAGCTTATCTGAGCAAAAGGAGATCAGCGTCGTCATGTTCCGTTGCATAAGATCGTATTCAAGTTTAATACTAGTGCAAAGATCGTTTCTCTCTCTCTCTCTCTCTCTCTCTCTCTCTCTCTCTCTCAGCTATTGCCAACATCGAACAGATTGTTACATAAACGCACGTAATTCATACTTGTTACTGCGAAATATAACAAATCTTACACTGCATTGTGAATTTGAATATAATTTGCCTATTATTACTTTTCCTGGTTTAAGAATGCAGAATAAAACGTAAATTCAACAGAATTTAACAATTCAAAAGTAACAAAAAACAGCAAGGCGTCAATTTTTTATTAAAACTACTGTGTAGTACACTGCGCGGATTTTGTGTAATATAAACTAATTATTACAACTTAAATCGCTTATTTGTAACACAACTGAAATATCTATATACAGGATGTCCCATAACTCACCTAACAACGCTCGTGGGCAGGTAAAGCGGACTAAACTGAGTCGAAAAGTCCTCTACTATTTTGTAATTTTCGCAATAGTTAAGAAGATATTAATTACTAAAAATTGCCGAATATTGGTCTTTAATAATTTTTTTCTCAAATACTATCAATTTTACAAAAAACCTGCAAGAGACAAAAATTGTTTATTTTCTTTTCATAGAACTCTAAAATTTTTTTCAGAATTTTTTATCAACTTTTTAGTACTGCATTTTCTTATTTTTACCATCATGAAAATCCGGTATTAAAAAATTCTGAAAAAATTCTCAGAACTTTATGAGAAGAAAATAAACAATTTTTGTCTCTTGCAGTTTTTTTGTAAAATTGATAGTATTTGAGAAAAAAATTATTGAAGACCAATATTCGGCAATTTTTAATAATTAATATCTTGTTAACCATTGCGAAAATTACAAAATAGTAGAGGACTTTTCAACTCAGTTTAGTCCGCTCTACCTGCCTACGAGCGTTGTCAGGTGAGTTATAGGATACCCTGTACATGAGTTGTGTCTGTGCCTAATGAATCTAAGAAATAAAGCAATAAAGCCTACTCATCGGAGAATATAAAAATGTAACGAATAAATTATTTTACTTATTTCGTAATATATGTTAATTTCGACAGTTAGACGGTTGTCGCACAGCACCTTGTGGTTTGTTTGTTTTGTAGTAGTGGCCGAGTGGGCGGCGCGTCAAATATGTATATATATACATATATATATATGATTCCGCGCAGTCATTCTGTACTTACCGACGCTCGTGCAGGCAGATAGTCGCTCTCTTCTTCATATTTCTTTTTAAAACGTGTATATTTGCGATAAATACTAGATAATACGAAACGTACTTTAGATTAAAGTCGTACTTTAGATTCCAAAAACTTATTTAAAATATTAATTAAAAAATAGATCAGTAGAAATTGTTTAAAATAATAAATCACTCTTTTATCTTATTTATTAAAAATATATATTTTAAATAACTTTATTTTAATACAACCGAGCTCTGTATATTAGTATATATTGATAATTTGATTTTATATTACGTGAAGAAAAGTATAATCTAATTAGTATTTTATCACGAAATGAAACAAGGATAGGGATAGTCGGCAGTTCGGCACGCTTCTATCCCGTGGATATAGTACAGACACGAACCACATCTACGATTTTATCGATAGTGTCAGAAAATGTATGTAGTCACGTGGTTCGCACACTAAAAATGGATGTACTGGCGGTAATGTACGGGCGATTTCGATGGTAAGGCCGGAATCAGACTAGGCATTAAAGATTGAGATTGAAGATTGAAAGATTGAAATTTGACCAATCAAAACAATAGGAGCTAAAATTCCTTTGTCCTCATTGGTCAAATTTCAATCTTCAATTTTCGATCTCAATCTTCAATGCATAATCTGATTCCGGCCTAACAGGAAAAAGGACGGCATGACCTCTCTCAGATTTCTCTCTACCCTTAATATCTTCGTTCTCTCTCTTTTCAACGCCTAAAGAATATATATTTATCCCATATATATTTATTATGTTTTAAGTGCAAACATTTTTGGGAATTTCAAGCAACGCGAACAAATAGAAATGATAATAGAATCGACATCGATTTTATTGTCATTTTTCACTGGGATATCATATTTAAAAAATTACTAGTAATACTAAGAGCTTATTGGACTACAGCCATCAGATTAAAAATGTCGGTCGAAACAGCCAATAGCAAAGATGTCGGCATTTCAGCTTCAGATAAAAGAATTGCTCTACTTTGGTAATTGCAGAGATAATTGGTATATCTAAGGGCCAGTTTCACCAACGCCAATTAACTAGCTTTAGCTCTGTCTCCTTGAATATCGCTCTCTGTCTTCTAGAAGCAAACTAGTGTTTTCTCGGGAACTCAGTTGTTTATGCTCAAATCACACTAGCGTTTGAAATTACATCAGCATTTGCATTTGCGTCTCTTGACCAATCAGAAAGATGCTGCTGATCAGCAGTTCCTTTCTGATTGGTCAAGAGACGCAAATGCAATCTCCAATCTCCAATCGCAAGGCTGCGGTCCACTTGACGCTACAAACGCTTCGAAGCGTTTGAGCGACCAATCGGAACAAAGAATTTTACGAATTGACTAATCAAAGGCCGGTATTCATAATCGGTTTTTATTTCAAG